TTGATCCATTCTCTCTAAATGACCAAACCACCTCAACAACCCCTCTTCTGCCCTCTGACTAATACTTTTATTAACTCCACACCTTCTCCTGATTTCCACACTCCGAATTTTCTGCATAATATTTACACCATACATTGCCCTTAGACAGGAAATCTCCACTTCCTCCAACCGCTGCCTCGCTGCAGCATTTACAACCCAAGCTTCACACCCATGTAAGAGTGTTGGTACTACTATACTTTCATACATTCCCTTCTTTGCCTCAATAGATAACGTTTTTTGTCTCCACATATACCTCAACGCACCACTCACCTTTTTTCCTTCATTAATTCTATGATTAACCTCATCCTTCATAAATCCATCCACTGACACGTCAACTCCCAAATATCTGAAAACATTCACTTCTTCCATACTGTTCTCTGCTAAAGCACACATTTTTAACTTTAAACTGTTTGGTACACTGATAATTTACAGAAACATTTTCAAGCCAAATATCTGGTGCTGCAAGAACATTTTCAGGGGTGCAGTTGCATATCTCTTAAGGAGAAAAACTTACATAAAAACTATTTTTAGTATGAATTATTATTTCAGCTGAAATGTTCTAATTTGAAATCCCATTTCAAATATGAAAATTTGTGATATTTAAAAAACTTAGCTAACAAAAATAGAGTGGTTAACAGAGAAGCAGTTAGCTGCTGAGTTTTACACCCCATCTTACAGCTGGTAACTGACTTAGTATGTCTTCTTAGCATAATAAATTTAAAACTGCAATTAATGATGATACATTAGGTCAAGCATATGAACATTGTGAAAGATATGCAAAGCCCATCTATAACTGCAAGCACTCCAACATTAAAGCCTAGATACTAACATCAAGGACACTTTAATCCTCACAAAGCAAATAAAATAGAGATAGCCTTTCCCATTTATTTAAATGCAAACAGAAAGAAGAGAAAGAAATATATTAGAGAGCAAGCTATATTAATCAAAGTCCAGTTTAAACTTATAAAAGTTACCATTATGTTGTTATATACAGTACAATCAATGTCAATACACAGTATTTTCAAAGTTACAACAAATGCCAAACCACTACTATATGGAGATTTAATATTTTAACAATGGCCATCTCCCACCGAGGCAGGGAGACTCAAACAAAGGAGTAACACGTTTCTCTTCTTTATACATTTAGCAACTTATACAGAAGTGGTTACAAGCCCTGTGCTCCCGAGTGGTTGCTGTCTGCCAACCCTCTACCTAGTACATCGAGATTCCAGTAAATTCTTTACATAATCAACATTTACACTAACCTTGATTTTCCCAAAAGCTTCAAAGACACTCTTGATATCACTCTCTGATAAGTCCTGATGAACTGAAGCTATATAAATACGATTATAATAGTTGGCTTCCTCAGTTATCTCATCAATGACCGTCTGTGCCTGGGGAAAAGATCACAATTATCATAGGGATACTGGAAAGCATACAGAATTTTAGCCCAGAAAGGCAGAATAAATTGAATAGGTAATATTAAATATCTTTCCATGATCATCTGTATTAAGGAACAGCCTATATTGTTTAATTATTTCAATAGCAAATAGTTATTTACTCATTTTAAAAAATGCATATTTAAATATTTACTTAAACTGTATTAATTTCAGAAACCTTAATGTAAATCAGTTAAAATGAGATTAAAAGTAGTTTTAAAAATAGCCAATTTCTTTTGCAAATATACTCTAAACCTACAACCTCAAAATTATATTAGGAACTTAAAAGAAAACCTGTACTACTATTAATAAGACAAGAATTAGCAAAAGGTTTGGGGAGGTGTAACTGAATTTTGAAGATAGTACCTAAATGAAGAGAAAACTCAGACAATACAACCACATCACTACACCACCAATGGACGTATTGCAACATGGTAGATCACAGAATGTACATGAGAATGTAATTTGATGCATCAGATGAGGGCAATATGAGCCAAAGCAGCAGAGACAATCAAGATGATGACAACCCGATGAGCGGCAAGGAGCACACACCAACACCGACCAAATGACTGCCATGGTTATCAAGATACAACCATTCTTTGTTTCTTCAAAAGCATTTGTATTTCTTATTTTCAATACAGCTAAAAGTATGGATAAGGCATGGGTGCCTACAATGTACATCCATTGGTAGTGTAGTACCGTGATTCATGGGCTTATGGTAGGACTTCTTCCATACCTGAGCTCACAGATACATTCTGCTTATATTCATCTTCCATTTATACTAAAATACCTAAAAATCTTAAAGCAGATGTTAATATACAGGGCAAGTGACACATTTGCTTTTTTTTTTTTAAATATATTTCACAAACTTTACCCCAGCAAAGAAGCCTCACAAAGGACAACATTTACACCAGAGCATTAACAAAAGCCATAATACTTGCACCATCTGTTGTCCTTGTCATGGAAAGAAGTCTTGCTTGTGTGACATCACAGGCACTGAGGCCCTGTGCTGTCGACCAATTCTGTCAATATAAATAAATTTTCACAAACTTTTCAACTGATTCTCATCTTGACGCTCATATGTGCCCCATGCTGTATTGGTCCAATTAGTCGGAGAAAAATTATTATGGAAACCCATTCAGCAAGAGAAAAAAAAGGTACATATGTAGAAACATTTAATCTTTTGAAAAAAGTTTTATTAGTAACCAAGCCTCCAGCACAAATTTATGAATATAAAATGCATAAATGCATTAGACTTGTTGAATTATATGCTGCTTTATGTAAGAAATCTAGCAAATCCCACTTTTGTGCTCAAACATTATCTGACTCGACCTCTTGATTGACACTGAACAAATCTTCTGGGTAAGCAGGTCTAGAATGAGGGCAGTTGAGTTATAGAAATCTAAAATTAAAAAAAAAAAAAAAATTAATTACTATTGAAATTATGGAGCAAAACTCATTCCCTATGGACAAGTTATTATGACAACAAAAACAGTATAGTGTAACTGGTAAAGGAGCAAAGGGTTTGAATGAGTTTTAAGGATTTAAAAAGGGGACATGAACAAACATTAACATTGTTTACAATGGATGCAGGAGACAAATATTAAATTTGACTACTCCTTACATTTACCATTAGTCTAAAGGGTATCCAAAAGTAAAGACCAGATAAATGATGTTCACATGAAGAGAAAAAACAAGGGGGAAAAAATTAGAGTATCAATGTATAAAAAAAAAATAAAAAAAAAAAAATCCCAGATTTGGGTATAACCCCAGCAGCCAAAACTAACAATAATTCAGGTGCACACACACACGAAGCAAGAGAGTAAGCTATGACTACCTCTTTAACATACTTATATCAAATCTTTTGAAACAGTATAATGACTTTGAATACAACTGGTGCTGTTATGGTGAAAATCGTGCAAAAAAACACTATGTAATCACACTAAGTGACAAAATTTGAACCAGCAAAAAATGGGATCATAAAAATTAAATGTTAACTTCTGCAGCATTGCTTGTACATATGCTAGAACAGAACTGGAAAAATTTAGTAAAGTATGCATAACTGGGCCAAGCTTTTATATCACATGATTACAGAACCATGTTAATGGTAAGAAGTATTTACTAATGCAGCTAGAAAGCATAATGAAGGTGTTCCTTACTTTCCAATACTGCTGTTTTTCACAACCTCAGAATTAGAAACATCCCCTGCCCTAAAATGTATAGTATAACAGGTGGTACTAAAAAAGAGCGAAATTAACAGTAGAACGGTAAAGTGACTGACAAGTTTAAGCATATGTAAATCAAATCACAGAACAAGTGGGATTCGAACCCATGGCAAGCGAGTCTTGTAACTCACAGACCAGTGTGCAACAATGTTAAGCATGTGTAACAGGAAAGATACAAAATACTACCACAATGGACCATAAGACACCATAGCAGTATGGAAAACTCTGAAATTATGACTTTTCACTCACACAGGAGATTGATCATTAATTTGGCAGACAAAATTCCTCAGTAAACGAAATGTCATTATTACAATCCTCCATACTGTTTCTGACTTATTATCCGGAGTAAACATAAAAGAAAATCATATTCTAAGCATTTAATCCCAAGATAAAAGAAGAATATAAATTGTGACCAGGAAATTGTAGATACAGAACAAGAAAGAGGAGTAGAAAGGGAAATAAAAATAACAGGTCTACTTTCTCAAAATTTTTGAAAAATGCAATAATAGCACTAGAACAATTTAAAAATAAACATGTTAACTGATCTCTGTCTCTATGCAGTTAATTTCAAAGAGATATAGCAGACAAAATATAAAATTCAGTTAAAAAAAAAAGTAAAACAGGTAAGACTTACAAATGGAAAATAGGAGATACTAGGCAAAAAGGGAGATACAGAAATACTATAAGAGGAAAATGAAAATAAGCAAATGTGTCAAAGAAAAAGGGAGAAAAATATATAAAAAAAATTGCAAAAAAAAAAAAAAAATTGGCAACCCCATGACAAAAATAAGACGAGCATCAAGAACTATTATTGCATATAAAAATGACAAAGGCATACTAAGGAAGAACTTAATTATATATATATATATATATATTTTTTTTTTTTTTTTTTTTGAAAAATTATGTTGTTTAGGCAGAAGCACTAAACCCGTAGGGCTCATACAGCGCTTAGGTTATGGGAGGCAATTCGTTTCAATCCCAAGGAAGAACAGGTCCAATTTCATGGATCAAGAGCCCCTCACTAGCATCAAGGCACTGCCCTTGAGGGGCTCTAAGAAACAGATTATCATGCCTACTGTTGCTTCTAAATGGACACAAGTTATATTTACAAGGAGTATTAAATCAATAAGTTTTATAAAACAAGCTAGTTATGTCACTTGCCCTTGAAAACATGTTAATATTTCAAGGGAGTTAAACTAAAAGTATAAACTCTATGAAATTTTGTATAATTCAAGGAGAAAAAAATTCTGCTTTAAAAATGACTTATAAATATTCCTAAAAAATTAAGTATAAAAATAGGTTCCTGGTCCCTACCACAGTGTATCTCCCAAGACAATTTTATGAAACAACCTTAGTTAAACATATCCATGAAAATAAGGACAATTATTCTAGAGTTTCTCATCCTGAGAAACAAAGTTCCTACATCTGACACTGGTAAGGTACAGAAGTGGCAGTACAAAAGCTATATACGTAAGCTCTAATGTACACGTCATGGTTTAGAAAGACACGTAAGCAAACACTATAACATATTTATTAGAAAACGTTTCGGTCCTGGGACCTTGATCACTTCTAACATACAGAGGTAGAAAGACATTATATATATAGGCGGAGAGTGAGATGTGACGCATGTGACCTGAGGAATGTCATAAGAACATAAGAATGGAGGAACACTGTAGAAGGCTTACTGGCTCATGCGAGGCAGGTCTTTATCAAAACAACCTCTACCGAAACGTTTTCTAATAAATATGTTATAGTGTTTGCTTACGTGTCTTTCTAAACCAACTTGTCGGTATTTATTACCAAGGCTTATACCACACATGTCATATATCCAATAATAATATTATTATTATTACTACTACTACTACTACTACTATTATTACTACATGTATATTCAAGATAATACAGTGCCTGGGAAATGAGGGGCAATCAGGTTTTCTCACAGTAATGGGAGGGTAGCTCCAATTCCTCAGATCAAGAGCCCTTTGCCAACAACATGTTACTATATAAAGCCATCTCAACTAAGCACTACACATTAAAATATGAAATTCAACACACTGTCTGAAGGGCATTACAAGACCTTAAAATAAAAATTCATTTCAACACACCAGTCGTATCCCACCGAGGCAGGGTGACCTAAAAAGAAAATCGAAAGTTTTCTTTTTAAATTTAGTATTTATACAGGAGAAGGGGTTACTAGTCCCTTGCTTGCCTAGTCACCTCTTATGACACGCATGGCTTAAGGAGGAAGAATTCTTTTCCACTTCCCCACTGAGTTAAAAAATAATTATGTATAGTTTATTAAAGAGTCCTAGAGCCTTTCATTCCATTGAACTATCTTCAAATTACTTTGCTTCATATTCTCTGCATAATATTCATACCACAAACAAGACTTCAAATGCATTTAGATGCTTCTCCACTGATGCCTTCAAAAACCATCCCTAATGCTACATTATTTTCCTTTGCATAGTATCACATCCCTTTTCAAATCCATAAATGTATCATAGATAATTATTTTTTTTTGTCCTTATCTAAGTATATTTTATTTTTGTTTGCTCTGTCAATCACTGGGGACCTTCCTCCTTTCAGCATCATGGTCTAATTCCATCCATCCCCACTCGTTAGCTCATTTCCCACCGACTCCCTTCACATTCATTTCTGACTCCTCCCTCCTAACAATCCTATTCCTTTCCCTGTGCATGGAATTTCTCCCCTTTTCATTATTCACATTCAATTACATACTTCTCTCCAATACATACACCTCAACACCTAACATCTCATCACTTTTTTAACTAACTGTTAGGTACATTTGCTTTTTCATACACAAATAACCCGCACATAAAAGAGAGAAGCTTACGACGACGTTTCGGTCCGACTTGGACCACTGACAAAGTCACACTTTGTGTATCGTTCCAGTCACGGTATTGTGCCTTTTTGTTATTTATTGCTTTTTCATTTTTTGCTACCAATTTTTTTTTTCTCTGAAAAATCTGCTGATTATAACTCGCTCATTCTCTCCATTACATGCCCTCTTTGTTTTTTTTACCAATCTTTCTCTTCATATACCTTGCCTTCTTTACATCACTTTTTACAGTGTAAAATGTTTTGTATTCTAACTTTTTGTCCTTTACACCCACATTTACTAAATCATTCTTCTTCCCTCTTGCATCAACCCTCGTATAACCACAAACTTTGGCTCCACCCACTAGTTTGAAATTCACACCACAACTCCTCAACCACCACATTATTTTCTCTCGTCCACCTTCCATGCATCTTGTGGCTCTCACTAACCATCATCTTTAATCTGCCTGGTATTCATTTCACTTCTCTCCTGCCCAACAATACCATATCTTTAACTGGACCTTTCTCTTATTCAAGCTATCAATAAATGATGACCCAATATACATTGGTCACTAAAAAAAACACGGTATCAGAAGTCTAGCCTTCGATCTTTAATTTTTTTGTGGTATCATAAGATTTTTTGTGTGCTCTTTAACATATATTTATTGATCCCTTTCTTAAACATCTAATTCAATTTACCAATTCTTGTTGTCATTTGCCCTAGCACGTCAAAATTTCCAATTGTGCCTGCCACGATGTCTCTCACTTTATCAAAAATATGTCCCACAATAATTATTCTCACTTGGTTCAAAATTTTCTAAACATCTGGCAGGATCAATCTCTAAAGTTACATAAGCACTTGTTACAATCCCATCTTGCATTCCACTTATTCTAACTCATATGGATTTTGAATGTCTTTATTTTTCGACCCAATGCATTTTGTTTTTCACGTACTGTAC